AGTTAGATGGTGCAACTCAGCCTAATTAAGCTAAACTGCAAAGTAGCCTTTAATTTGTAATAATAATTTTATGACGGAAGAAGTAGTCTTTTAATTAATCTTTAAGCATCCAGAAACGGCTAGGGATCAAAGTATGTAATTATAAATTTATTAAGTACCAGTAACAGTTATCAAATAAGGAAACGCCTAAAGCTGGAAGGTAACGTGAAATCGATAATACGACACTCCATTAAATGTTTATAGCAACATAGATTTATGGCACTCTAAAAGCAGTCGTAAAACTACCGAATACAAACAAACACGCGTATTTAGCGAGCGTGAAATATTGAACTTTGTATTAATTGCCGATGGTGTCACCACAACACGTAAGATTATGTATTGTTTGAAAAAAAAACAAAGATCTCCGAGTGTATCTTATCACAGAAATCGACTTATAGATTGCATATTTTGAAACTTTTTAGGTTACGAACGGGAATTTTAGGTTATGATTTTTATCCGTAAGGCCTGGTTTTCACCAAGGAGACGGAGAGGACCAATTAGATTTCATTATTTCCACAACTCTCCGCTCCGCACAGCTGTCAAATTCTATAGAAAAATTCATAAGTCCGACACTTTTCCGCATCGCTCCCCTCCGGGCCTAAGTATTAGATTTAGTAAATAATGACTTTACGGTACAAATAAACAGTTTGTTAACATATTTTTTGCAACTAATTTGTTTACCATTGATAAGAAGCTGTAAACAAAACACCGAAAAACAAAAGAAAATAGAATTTTCCATATAAAATCTAATGTTTTGACACCACACAGATGCACCGATAACGTGTTTACAAATCGTTAACTTAAGGCGATTACATGGCCGAACNCCTTAATAGCGTAATCATTATCTATTGCTGCAAATAAGAGTACTTGGTAATTCTCTTATCGAATGATCTGAATCGATTTCCTTTTCTTTTATCGATGAGTTCAACAGATTATGCACGACCGATAACAAAAATATTCATTGTTGTAAGATAATGCAGAGGTGAGACGAATGCAGATTACCGAAAACTTTAAAGGTTTTTCATCTAAATAATTCTGTTTTTAAAGCAAAAATGTGAATGAAAAAACAAATGAACCGTACTAAAACTTTAGTTTTACGAAGTAAAAATTTAAAAATTCATTTATATTTCGCTCTTAAGTAATCTTTGTCACATAAAAGAGAGACGCTAGAGTCTGCATCTACATAAAATTTAATACAACTTTATGTTTGCTGTATAAATTCAAGTGTCGACATAATGAGAAAACCTAACGACATTCGTCACGAGGGTTGTTATTTTATAGCGATATTTTCTCTTACTCTACAAGGTTGTTGAGACTTTTCAGTGGCCTCACAATGTAGTTACGATTTTTTCCGGCACCTCACGATGTGGTTACGATCTTTTTTGCTACCTCACGATGTTGATCCGATCTGGCGACGACTTAACAATATTGACGTGATGTTTACCGTCCTTTGCGCTAACATTACGGTGCAATATCGAGGCACTTTGATGTTCGCGCTTATGAAGATTTTGCGCCAGAATTAGGTTACCTTTATATTATATTTATATACTTAAGTATAAGCGTGAGAAACAACCTCGTTATGCTTGATCATTAGGCTGCTCACTGACATGAAACGTGGAGGCTTTAAGTTATTATGCTAATGTTCAGTTATGTTCAAAAATAAATTATTAGATCTCACAAAGGAATATTTGAACAGGAATATTCTCTACCTGGAGAGTAGGATTAAATTATAATGGATTTTATTTATAGGATTTGAATTATTTATCTAATAGTTATATTATATGTTCCAAGATATGACTAATTATTAAAAAAAAATATTCTGAGATGATACACGCTAGGTAACCTGTAAATTGACAATTTCTCAAGAATCTATAGTCAAAATACAGTAAGGTGTACTTAATGCCCCCTGAGGATAAAATACTAAAATATTTAGATCGTGAGGTAGATAAATATAATAGTAGATAAATTTTAATAACTGACTCTATTTATAAAATATTTTTTAGGTTGAAAAATAATACCTATTAAAACTGCGTTAGAAGCCAGTGTTTACCTTAATGTACCGTTGTCCGTTACAGTTAAATAATAACTAATACTTTTCGGTTCAACGTCCACAAATAAGTTGTACGCCGTTAACAGAAATATTTTAATTGTTTCTTTACGATAAGGTTGATTTACTCGTTACTTAAAAATGAATTATTCTCAAATATCACGATATAGGAAACAAAATACATGTAAGTTAACTTAATTAATTTAAACCAAGTAAACAATGTTATATTTAGCGGATAAATATTTATCTTTGACATTATTTTGAAGTTCCAATTAATTGTATTAATTAGTTAAACCGTGTATAGTGATGTCATTAATTTAAAGTAATAAACAAACCTTTAGGTAATTTTAATTGATAAAACTAATTAAATTAACTAATTTATTATCGCAGGTGTATAGCATGCCAAACATAATTAAAACAGAATAATATGCCAAGTCCAAAACACAGAATAGCTTTTCCTTATTTAGTTAAATGTTGATATGAAAAACTACGTATAACTACAGTAATTTTCAGATAAGTTGGAAATATTGTAATTAATTAATAGATAACATTTAACAAAGTCTAGTAGCTAAAAGTGAAACTATCACGATTACTAAACTTTATTTGAATCAAAACTCTAAAACAAATATTTAAACATTTTTAGTAAAAAAAAATAGTGGCTGAGCAATCTGATAAAAAAAATGCTAGGTTAAAACTTAAGTCAGTATTTTTTTAATAATTTAAAACAAACAATATGGCGATTATTTTACATTCATCATCAGGGATATGACAATTAATACTTAGTAGTACTTCAAGATGGTGTTGCGTGTCTTTTAAAAAGCCGTCCTATATGCACAAAGGTGTCAAAGATTTTGATAAAAAAATTAAAGCGCTTGAAGAAAGAAATAGGCTGTTGTAGTAATTTGACCCCAACCAAGACCCAGCCAGACTCAATGTTAATCGCAACTTTGGGCTGAGTGTGAGTTTACATCAAACATTCTCAAAAGTGAGCGCGGTAAAAAAATTTATGAAAATTTTAGTTCTTGAACGTTTTTCCGCAAGGGGCGCTGTACAATCCGTCATACATTTAATGTCACTTTTTTACGCGGTTGACATCGAATGTGTTTGAGGTAAACTCACACTAGGCCCCTTGTATAATTTGGCAAGTATTCGCACACGTCCGTGACAACGCAGGTTTCTCTATTCGTCATAAAATATACATTTACATAATCTGTGAATCAGAGGAACAAGTGTAGACACACTAATGTTATGATAAATAATAAATCAACCACACGGCTTCGTTTTCTAACAGATAAGGAACCTAAGATAAAATACACTTGATTTCGTCATTGTGATTACTTATTATAATGATTTATCACGACTTTGGACTTATGTTTATTTATATTATGATGCACTTGCCTTTGTTGTCTGTCAATTTATTTAAGAGTTATTATGCATTTTCTGAATGAGTTTTGTCGTTTACAACCTTTACAGCGAAGGATTATGAACTTGCATATTTTGACGTTTCCTTTTGTGTAACCGAAGAATTTACAGCGTCTGTAAAATTCTACGAGCGTTCTATTTTCAAAAATTCTTTTTCATTCATTTGTTTTTTCGAATTCGAATGACAAGTGTAGTTAAAAAAATGGGATCACGGAACTAATTTGAAATCAAATGATGCGTTCTAAACTAGCTTTTTTATTTTACGCAAAATCTTTCCATTAATATTTCTTTCGATAGCCACTATTTTAGAGTTGGCAGTAACCCCCAGTTTCACGGGCTAACAAGAAGTAAACATAAACAGAGAGTTTTCATCAACGCGAACTGTTGCCAATATTTTTAACAGTGCCAACGTAATAACAGTTTAGTACCAATTAACCTTAACCTTAGTACCTACTGACAGCGGCAGATATTTAACACTTTGGTATCTTATGTTTGTAATAAATGCTATTTTGCGACAAAAATGTAGGATCGTCTGATTTTTAGTGCCGTCTGTACAATTTGAATTGCTGATAATACCTCTTTGGATTATATCTCATAATTCATATATCTTTATTTGCTTAGCTTATCATTAACCGAATAGTAAATAGGTAAGACGTTAATATTAACTAAAGTATTTTGTATACAGGGTGTTTGGTAAATGGGTATATGAGCCGACACTAGTTAACATGGGCATATAAATGGTATAGTGAAGTCAGAAATTTGATATCTCCATTTTAATTATTTTAATTTTCATACAAATCGGATTTTATAAAATTTATTTTTTTATTTATTTGTTGAAAATTTAAAAAATAAAATGATGATATCAAATTTCTGACTTCACCATACCATTTATATGCCCATGTTAACATGGGCTAGTGTCGGCTCATATACCCATTTACCTAACACCCTGTATAAATAACATTTTGAGCCTTCATTTCTGTAGATGTTAGAATACTGACGTGACTTTGAAGATAATATTTTAGGATAACATAAATCGAGGTATGCTTAAATAAAATGGAATAGAGTGTGTGGAAAATATGAGCAATAGATAGGTAGACACCTAATCACTTCAAAAAGATAATATCATGGTTCCATCTAATCTATGAATATATCCCAAGAAGTGCTAACATAAGGAAGATGGACTTATAATGTCACTATCACGTCAGATAAATCCCAATATTGACGTAATACGCAGTGACGACGCAACATACGATGATGACTAATTTCCTTATTAGGAAAACAAGATTTTCCTTGACAGAGAGATTAAATGTAAGTTAAGGTTAATTGTCCATTCCTATGACATCGCAATTGCAAGTTTGGTTAACATCTCATTAATAAAGCGATTAGCCTAACGAACTTAATTCCATTGTTGGTAAACAAATATTGAATTAACTAATGCGTTATCAGAACGCTTATCTTTTGTTTTTGTGACCTTAAAGTTACGTAAACTGACCTCTTTCTGATCAGTGGGCGTGCTGGTCCTCACGCCGGTCAGATCCTTCCATCTGAGAACCCCCATGACTGCGTGGCGCACCCACGAGCCTCTTCGACCCGTCCGACCGTTCGACAGTTCATCAACAACACCACAAAGCACAGAGTTCACCACATGCTTCCCAGTTCCATCCTTATCATTCTTCAACGCCACTTCGCTGCTTATCGGAAAAGACCGTCTCTCCCTCATAAAGCCCAAAAAAGTCCACACCGTTTCCCCTCTAACTCTCCCCGAAACGCATCCTCATACACACACGATTAATCATTCTACGGAACACAACTTCAAAGACGAAATAAATCTCGTAAATCGTTTATTTCTATCACAGTTTTCGGGTCACGCAGATGCGTTCCTTCCCATAAGTGTCCGGAACTTTTTCAATTATAACAAACAGTCACAAATATTCAAACTTCGAGACGCGGCAGGTTCAACAAAAACTGTGTATTTAAACTTTCACTTGAAGCGTTTCGCGCCCAGGATGTAGGTTACACTTCTTTTGCATTCACGAAAACGTCACCGACAAAGTAAACTTCATTCACAATTTATAATAATCCAACTTTTTTCACACAATTTTGCACTGTCCACTCATAAAATTCGATTTTAGAACAACCAGGTTCCCGACTTCGACAGAAGAAAACTTTGTAAATACAACTGTCAAAATACGATCGAATCGCGATAATTCGAAATTCAAATCGACACAGCGTCCTCACTGGCTTACGTTCGAAAACCGAATGGAGCGGCGCGTGCCGCATGCCACATGCTGGTGCCGACGGTGGCTAAGAACTCCGTCTCTTTCTTCGAGTTCCCATCGAGATACGATAGATAAGGACAAGTAGCTTCGCAAGCCTCCGAATACAGAAGCGGTGCAATGACAAGACAGGTGAATGTAGACTGAGAAGACAACAAAAAGTTTCCAAACGTTTTCTAGTGCAATTTTCCATTGTGCACTTATTATGAAAAATTGTGAGATGAGACAATACAAACAGAGAAACGCTTGATACAAAAAAGTAACAAAAAAGGCTGGGGATTCATACTTAAATACTAGATAGTTAGATAAACGTTCATCTAGCTAACAGGATGGATAACTAATAACAAGGCCAAGTGTTTAACATACAATAGACATAGCATAGACTGTAAATTATTTTCATAAAACCACGTGCACTAGAGATTTTCAAACAAACAATGTAAGAATCGTGTTAAGTACGAATGTTTTGCCAGACGAGGCTGTTTTGAAATAATTTTAATTAACAAAGTATTCCTAATTTTACCTAAGAATATTTCAAGACAGGTTACCTTGTTTCTTCAAGCTCGTAATTTGAATAGAACTGTGACTGCGTAAAAATGGGTTATACACAAAAATATTTGATGTCATTATTGCTAATTTTTAGTTAAAAACAACTAGATTTGAATTCATATTACATATCTACTATATAAAAATAAGTCGGGTTTTCCTCCCTGACGCTATAACTCCAGAACGCACGAACCGATTTCCACGGTTTTGCATTCGTTGGAAAGGTCTCGGGCTCCGTGAGGTTTATAGCAAAGAAAATTCGGGAAAAGGGGGTAAAACGGGATCCACGCGTACGAAGTCGCGGGCGGCCGCTAGTTACAACATAAATATCACAGCTATGTTACATTATTATTACAACAACGATTTTCCGATAGTTTTCGACCTGTTTCCTATGATATGAATATGACCTTGTGTCAAAAAGTTTAAACATACACAGGATTTTGTGTATTTCGATTTTGACATCTTGTGTCAAAAAGTGAACATTTTGCAAACAAAATCCTGTATTTTGTAGATTTATATTTCGACGTATAAAACAGAATAAAATAACAAGCGAAAAACATAGTCCTGTGAGAAAATGCTCACTAAGATTTAATTTCCCAACAATATTTCCTTCACGCGCGTACCCTAATTACTAATCAACAAACCTAACAACTGTCCTAAGATTCTTTCACCGCGATAGACAATCTCTGACACTCAGACATTTTCTGTACATTTTATTGTAAAATAGCCCCTATTCGAGGTACATAAGGTACAGTGTTTAGCTCGACGTGCTACTTAGCCAACATAACAGTTGCAAGTGCGTGAGAACGTCCGGCCGTGCGCGTACGCAGCGAAGCGCATCTGCGATGGGACTTCTATGGGGGATCCTGCAGGTGCATATGTCGTTGTTTGCCAAAAGTAGGCGTTTGCTATGCGGTACCATGAGAAACACCATGAGAAAGAAGCTCACAGAGGCCATGGAAAATCATATTCGTTGATCATTGCACATCCTGTAACTTGGATCGTAACAAAGGTTTCTATGGCGATCAAAAGGGAATATGTACATTAAAAATGATAACTAAGATATACATAGAATGAATCAACCTTCAATAAACAATTCGAAGAATTAATTGGTATTATTATTACGATTTTCATGTAGTAGTACAGAAAAACACTTCAAATTCAAATTATTTATTTCCTACTTCACCCGAATCAAGGCTCTATATCAATAGTGACTTCGCAAAACAAAGAAAAACTTTAAAAGGGACTTAACACTTACAACAATGTGACATAATGTATTAAAATTAATGTAATTTAATTATGTAGATAGCTATTACGCAAGAAAGTATCAAAATTAACTGCATTATCATATTGGATCAAAGATCAAAATTGGATCGAAAACCCTCACAAAAGGTGCACACAGGTGTTTTCGACATCTGCTTCCGAAGCCCACAGCGTTTTGGGTGCACAGACGCACTTCCAACGGACGAAGGAAGGATGCGGTTGACGCAAAAAGTATGGCAACGTCATTTTTAAGGAAACGGTTCCTTTTCTTTAAGGATGAAAGCTGTATTGTAAGAGTTCAGACAATAAAAAAAGTTTTAAAAAGAAAATTAGCTATACAGATATACGAGTAATATGCTTCGCAGATACAATATTGCAACTTACATAGTTACAAATTATTTTCGGTTCTGGTTTCAAGGAAAATATTTTTTTTTGTAACTTTTCTTTTATATAGGAGCAAATTATATGCAACAAGCATATGAGCCTTATTTCGATGGTGACTTCGAAATAACTTTTACTGATATGTGTTGCTTATCTTGTTTTATATTTTTTTCTTATAAACATTCCAAATAATAATATATCTGACACAATTTTTTTTTAAAGACCTTCTGCCGATAAGTCCTACTAATATTATAAATGCGAAAGTCTGGATGTTTATTACTCTTTCACGCAAAAACTACTGAACGGATGTTGATGAAACTTTACAGTATTATTGTTTATAACCCAGAAAACACAAAGGCTATAATTTATGACGATATTTGACAAACTAAATTTTTACGCGGGCGAAGCCGTGGGCAAAAGCTAGTTCTACATATTTTGTAAGTAGAGCTTTTGGTAGAATTATTGAGAATATTCAATCAGTCAGTGTCTAATAATGTATTAACCGAGGACAGTCAATTGGGTCATATTTCAATGGGGTCAATCAATATCCAATAACAATTTCCTACACTCATTAATAGTAATAAACAGTGAAATTAAAACATTATTACTAGTTGTTTGTAATTATAGTGTAACCGCACCCACGTATTCCCAATATGTGGTCGGTAACAACAGACTCGTCACGTGCGCAGTGTGCACTCACTTGGCCTGAACCCAGGGTTGGCACTTGGCCACTTGACCAATGAAAAAGCTAAAAAAGACGGTTAAGCAATCCTAGGAGATATGGCTGGGTATTAGAAGCCGCAACGAATTTAATCAGAACAACTTAGGAGGAGTAAAGGCAACTGAAATAGCAGACCGTAAAAAAGCGTTTTTCGATTCTAAGCTGTACAAAGTTCTTCACAAGAAATTAAGATAAATGAAGTGAGCAAGTATACTAAGGGCGCTTTCAAATAAGACGTTTTGAGCAAATTATACGTTGTTAGTCGTGCGCATTTAATTTTGTCCTACAATTTTCCGTCTGCAGGACCAGAGGTGGAATTGTGTAAAGCAATCGTAATCATTTGACAGTTCATAACGTTCGATAAAGTCAGTTAAACAAAGCGTTTGACAGAATAATCGTACGTTATGAACTGTCAAATGATAACGATTGCCTTACACAATTCCACCTCTGACGACTTACGTCCGGCTAAAACGCCTAATAATATGAAAGCGGTGTACTTGCTTACTGCATACTTACGCTAGGTTACGCTCGTAAAAAAAAGGTTACGCTAGGGATTTTTTAAGTAGAGAACTAAGTAAATGTAAATTCGCAGTGAGAGTGCGTCAGGTTAATAGGCCTTCGATGTTCCTTAATTTCAGTCTTTTATTCCTTTACAATGGCACTGTTATAGGCGTTATTTAAAATATACAAAAATGTACCTCTAGCTACGTGAGCCTATTAAGTTGTCATAAGCCCTACATCACAACAAAACATTCTAATGTTACGCACACCGTTACCAAGGCAACGATCGCCCAAAACAGACAAGTAATTTATCAACTCAACTTAAATATTATTACCCATGTCACTTTACGTCTTTATGGGAACCCTTCGATCAACAATACTGACTAGATATCGGGTCAGCGCAAAAATAACGTGTCGGGTAATAACAGCAGACTTAAGCAGTGAGTTCTTATTTAATTAACGCCAACTCACAGTTAACATGGTGTACATGGGAATTTGAAAGACTTTAAAATATTAAATACACAGCTGCGGTGACGTTTGAACTGTACTGACCTACCCACCTTGCTTTTCTAATAACACATACTTCAGAATTACATACAGTCTAGATCTAAGCAAAATAATTTTGTAAAAATATTTTTTTGAAAATTGTAATTTGTCATTTTTATTGACGCCAGACAAAAAAGTGATTAATTAATAAAAAGAACTCACTTCTTAAGTGCGCTCTTATTTCCCGAGACAAAATTACGCTGACTCGATAATGTTGGTATTGTTGATCGAAGTGGCAACCCTAAATCGGAATTGCATTCACGAATTGCGTTTTCGTGTCACATTTGGTCCTGTTTTAAACATTCGGTTAACCGCGGGATGTCCTGCCTACCAAAGTACGGTTTTTAACACAGTTCCATGTCGTTTGTCGTCCTACTCAAATTGCAATTGCAATACGGAAACATTTTGTCGTTTTGTTTGATACGTGTAGAGTTAGTGAACTTTTTGTTATTATAAAAAAAAATTGACACACTTGACCATCAATTCAATTACAAAACAACTGTAAGGCTGGGTCGCACCATCTTACTCTAACTTTAACAAACGTCAAAAGTCTGTCAAACTCCATACATAAAACATCGGCTATGGTTAGTCACCGTTTTAAAATTAGGTGGTGTAACTTAGGCTGAGTTGCACCACCTAATTTTGCCCGTAACTATAACGATAACCGGTGCTTTTTGTATGGAGTTTGACAGATTTTTGACGTTTGTCAAAGTTAAAGTAAGATGGTGCAACCCAGCCTTAGTCTAAGGAAATTGAAAGCTAATCTTCTATTACTCCAGCAGGTATTTTTAAAACCTATAGTATAGGATATGAAAGGAGGCACCATTGGGCTGACAGTTTTGTTTAAAATCGTTTAAGACTGAATAAATCATAATTTAAAAATAGTTTTATCCTTGATTAAAGACAAAGTTTCTCAAGCAACTGATCCGATTTCTAAATAAAATTCAAATTCACCGGCTAACCTATTTTACAATAGCAAGAAACCTAAAAAATTTAAATGTCAAGATATTGCCAAAATTCTTTC